ACTATAGTCATATTTGAATATGACTATATGTTGCTGCTACCACAGTGAAGGGAATGGGAAACAACACACCTTTGCAACCTTTTCCGTAGCATATACCGCAAGTAAGAGTCTGTTCCAATAGAGCTGATTCCCATGTACTTGCACATATTCACTAGACGAGGCCTAAATTGCAAAAAACACAACCATATCATGTAATGATTGTTGTATATTTTAATCTTAAACAATGAGATACAATTATGAATACGAAAAAATGAACCTGCTGATATTATCTAGTGTGAGTTCATCATTGAACAGCTTAGCAAATCCCAAAATTTCCTCATTATCACCATCGCAAGCAAGGAAACATTGATTTATCATAAAAGTGGAAACCAGGTATTGAACCGGCACATCATCTTCTATAAACGAAAAATCTAACAGAAGTACGAAATATAGGCAGGTGCAACTGATGCATACTTTAGTAAATTTTATGATACCAAATCTATCAAAAATTAAACAGTTGCACAATCATCATAAGCTATGTTCCTCGGACAACAATGATTAGCTTTACTATGTAGAAATGACCCATATGCACAATTCCCAAAAAGAATATTGCTGCTACTAATACATAAATATGTTCCAGATCTGTAGAAAAAAACAAAAAAAAAAAACAGAGAGAGAGAGATAGAGAGAGAGAGAGGGAAAGAGAGAGAAATCGAAAAATAAATAAATAAACACTACACAAAAAGTGATTTTCGAGGGAGGGGGAGTCGACGACAACGGAGATGGCGGTGGTGGCGGCGCGGCGTGAGAGAGGCGGCGGTGGCGGCGGCGTCGACGATGAGCGGCGGTGGCGCCGACGATGAGCGGCAGTGGCAGCGGACGATGAGCGGCGGTGGCGGTGGCGCCGACGATGAGCGGCGGTGGCGGCGGACGATGAGCGGCGGTGGCGGCGCGGCGGCGGTGGATGAAGCTTGAAATTTTAGGAGTGTTTTGAGAGTTTAGGTGGAGAGGTGGAGAAGAAGATGAAAGTGGTAGGTGAGCAAATAATTAGGGTTATAGTAGTTGAGGGTAGGTTTGTCTTCTCACACTAGTCTAGGGGGGTCTCACTAATTTAAGAATGAAATTTGGGTGTTGGGAAAAGTCTTTCCAAGTCAATTGGGTTTAGTTCAAAATATTTTCTATTTGAGGGGTGTATTGCATATTTCCCCTTTAAAATATAAGTATTTTAAATATATGTTCTTAATTTACATAACATAAAATATTTCTTAAATAAAATTATAACATAAAAACTTTTAACATCAATTATAAATTAATGAAAACAATTTAAAATATTTTTGACATGCCTAAGGAGTGTAATTAATTTTAACTAATAATAGTTAGTTAGGATACTATGTTCACTTTTTATATATAATAAATTAATTATTAAATTTTTATTTTATTTATTATTATTTATTAATAATATTTTGGTACGGCAGGATAATACCATTTTAATAATATTGAGTGTCGTTGCCCTACAAAAACATTTTGGTATGGTACGGTAGGGTAATAATTCAGTAGAAATATTTCGATCGGTATAGAATTGATAGGGTTGAGTAGGGCGACGGGTTGTATGGCAATTTGGTTATAAAAAAAAAAACTCCTAATTAATTCTCTAATTTTCACTTTTGACAGATTAAAAAATATAAAGATATTTTTTAAGCATTAAAATATATATATATATATATATATATATATATATATATATATATATATATATATATATATATATATATATATATATATATATAAAAAAAAATATATCTATATTAAAAAAAAATTTACGGTTGAACCAGTTCGACCCTATAAAACCATGACACAAATGATCGTCCTGTTCCATAGCCGGTACGGTTACATAAAATTGAAAAAATTGGGATTTCAAGTCCCGATTCCATATTCTTGAAATTTTTTAGAATTTTCAAACTACCAGGCATTAAAATTTGGAACTGGATTAGTTGGGTAAACAACATAAAACCCTCATGTGTTAAGGAAAATCTGCGCCAAACCCCCTATGTTTTTTTTTTCTTGCGTAAAACCCCCTTATGTTACATTTTACTTTGCACGAAATCCCCTATTCCGTTAAAAGTTAACACCGTTAACTATAGAGGGGATTTTATGCAATTTTTGCATATTATAGGGGGGTTTTGCATATTTTATACAATACAAAAGGATTTTATGCAAAATTAATTTATTCATTTCAAATTTTCACATTATTTTCTTAAATTAAGTCGAACACATTTATTCAGTTACAATATGAAAAATATAATTTAATAGGTGTGGTGAGTATTTAAAAAAAATCAATTTTTGTATGATATAATTTATTACTGTATTTAAGAATTTTGATTTTTTTAAATATATAATTATTTTATTAGAATTATCATCTTTTTTTATAATTTATTCTGGATTAATTATATGTGAAAATTGAAAGAAGATAAATAGTTTGAGAATTCGTTCCATCTTCCATCTCGAATATTAATTTTTTTGGATTTCATATTTTAAATTAGTAGATGTATTCGACTTAATTTAAGAAAATAATTTGAATTTTAAATAAAATTAATTTTGCGTAGACGCCCCTTGTGTTGCAAAACCATGCATAAAATCCCCATATGTCATAAAAAACTTGCATAAAATCCCTTCTATAGTTAACGGTGCCTTGGATTCGACCCTTTTTTGCATATGTGA